CTGGGTGGCTTAAACACAATAGAAGGCTGGGAAGTCAAAGATCAAGGTGCTAACAGATTCCATGTGTGAGAACCCACTTCCTGGTTCATTGACAGCTGTCTTTTCTCTGTATCCTCACATGGCAGAAGGGGCAAAGGAACTCTTGGAGGTCTCTTACTAGGGCACTAATCCCATTCATGTGGGCCCCACCCTCATGACCTGATCACCTCCCAAAGGGCCCACCTCCAAATATCATCACATTGGGGATTAGAGTCAGCATATGAATTACAGGGGGACACAAACATTCAGTCTATAGCATGAGTAAGCCATCCAATTCCTGCTAGGACCCCGATACATCACCTTTCTTTCTGATAAAGCTGATTATCAGAGCATGTGGCTTAGGTGTGTGGGCAAGGGTGCTGCCTGATATTAGGAACAGGGTCCCAGGCAGCATTGAACATACATACACCTCTCTCTGGAGGCACCTGGCTACAGAGAACAGGATGCCCCTTCTCTGCGGGCAAACAGATGTCACAGTGAGCTGAGCATGCCCAATTCCTTCTCCATTTCACAAAAGCCACTTCTCCTCCAAGGGGAAGAGTGAGTGCAGAAGTAGAGGGAACGTAGAGTGTTATTTTTCTAGAGATTGCTTGGCCCAGGGGAGAAGTACACTCAAATACTTCTTAGCTTCTGCCTTTGGGCAAGTAGAATTCAAGGCAGGAAACGTATCGTAAAAGAATACCATTCGATGTTGATAAGGGTGCTGTTGTGGGTTGAATTACGTCCCTCTAAATTCATATGTTGTGAGTTTTTAAATTAAAAAAAAAAATTTTTTTATTTTTTAAGTAATCCTTACACCCAACATGGGGCTCAAACTCATGACCCTGAGATCAAGAGTCACATGCTCTACTCGACTGAGGCAGCCAGGCACCCCTAAATTCATATGTTGAGCCTAACCCCCAGTACCTCAGAATGTGACCTTACTTAAGAGGTAAGGTCTTTGCAGCGATGATCAAAATGAGGTCCTCAGAGTGGGCCTCACTCCAATACAACTGGTGTCCTTGTAAAAAGGGAAACTGGACACAGAGACATGCGTAGAGGGAAGACAGTGTGAAGATACAGAGCGATGACAGCTGTCCAAAAGCCAAGGAGAGGGTCCTGGAGCACACCCTTCCTGCACAGCCCTCAGAAGATATCAGCCCTGGTGACACCTTGGACCTCCAGCCTCCAGAACTGGGAGACTCTAAGCTTCTTTTGCTAAAGCCCCCCTTCCCCCACCCCCACCCCCAACCTGGGGTCCTTTGTTTAGGGCAACTCCAGCACGCTGAGAAAGGCGACTTCCGCAGTAAATATATAACTCTGTGCCAAATGACATCGCAGCAAGATACACAAAAGAAAAGACTGCTAGAAATTCCCTAATGAGCGTGCAGGAGCACAGACACCACAAAGAGACGTAACAGGAGTACTTGACCTGACCTTGGGCTGGGGACTCCTTGGCAGTCTGTGGTTGGACTTCAAGGGCCCTAACATCATGATCAAACTATTTTTTGTGCCAGATGCTGGCACTCAGCACCCTCCTTACTGTTCTGAACCCTCTCCTGTGTCTGGGGGTTAAATGCAGGAGAATGGCGCTTCCTAGGCCATCTTGCCCACAAGGCTCCAGTTTGTCTCAGGAACATCCGTCCCGGAAGCTCTGGAAGGCAGCTAGAAGCGGAAGCCATTCTTCCTGGGCAGCGCCGAGCATGCTCACGTGAGCACCAGCCGGTGGAAGCCTCCACGTTTTGCACGCGCCTCCCGGTGTCCCCTGGCGAGTCAGCCCTCTTCCTGTTCCAGAGATCAGTCAGCAGCGTGGTTTCTTGTGACACCTGGGGTGCTGTTTACTGAAAGCCTGCCCTCCCTCCATCCTGCCCACAGTGTTTTGAATTCCCTGTATTAAATCTCCTCTTGCTTGTTGGACAAAAGGCTGCGTGGCAGAACGATCCTATGAATCCGCCAAACTCCATTTCATTTTCATCCTTAGGTAGATGGAAGGTTTGCTGCCCCCCCCCCCCCCCCCCCCCCCCCCCCCCGAGTCCCATGCATTTCGGTGAAGCCATGTGAATGTGTTCCAGCCAACGGGATGTATTTCCAGGCCTGGCCCTTAAGTTCTCCTCCACGGGTTCTTCCACGAGCATATCATTCCTGGGGCTCCTGGCAAGGCACGGAGGATCGGCGGAGGTCCTGGAAGATGGCAGAACATCAGACGGAAAGAAACATGGATCCTGTAATCACCAAGTGGTGCGGATGTTCATCAAACACGCCAGTGTCTGTGTTGGGAGGGGAAAATTAGTCTTTATTCTGCCAAAATCTTTTGTTATAGTAGCTAGAATTACTGATCCTAAGTAATATAACCAGGAAATAAAAAATGGTTCGGTGCTTATATGTAGGCATTCCCTCATTCTCCCTGTGCTTTTGCATAATTTCTGGGTTAAGTGTTTATAAACCTCAGTGGTAACAGACTCTAATCCTTCTCATAGTAATTGATCTATGCGTATTTTCTATTTCTTGGGTGAAATTCATATATATTTTTTAAGTTTACTTATTTATTCTTAGAGCAAGAGAGCACATGTGTGAGTAAGGGAGGGGCAAAGAGAGAAGGAGAGAGAAAATTCCCAATGATAGTGCAGAGCCTGACGTGAGGCCCCATCCCATGAACCAGTGAGATCATGACCTGAGCTGAAATCATGAGGCAGATGCTGAAGCGACTGAACTACCCAGGAGCCCCCAGATATTTATATTTTGACAAAGAAAATCTTCATTTTCAAAATCATTGCCATATAGTTTCATGTACTGTAAAAAAGATCTTTCTAAGCATAATAAGAGAACAGATGAGAGATTTCATTGTGTAAAAATTACAAACGTCAATGCAGAAAAACGACATTAACAAAGTTAAAAAAGCAAATAACTAGAAAATAATCCTTAAAAATATTTAAAACATTTTTTATTGAAGTATACACTCCATACAGTGTGATATTAGATTCAGATGCACAGCATACTGACTCAGCAATTCTATACATTACTAAGTGCTCACCACAATACGTGTGGTCACCGTCTGTCACCAATGTTATTACTACAAATATCTTTTCAAGTCAGTGCAAAAAGATAAACGAAAATAGAAAATTTTAGATACAGAGTATGAAGACACAAAATAAATTCACATGAATCCGTAAAGGAAAAACCTCAAATAACGGATAAAATATGAAAGAATGTTCTACTGCATTGGATTCAAAGAAATGCACACTGAAAGCTAATGGAGTTACTATTATTACCCCCATCTTACAGTCTTGGAAGCTGAGGCTCAGAGAGTGTATTGTAACTCGCTCATGATGAGAATGCTGGATGAGGCAGAGCCAGGATTCAAATCCAAGTCTTACTAGCTCAGGGTTTTTCATCCTGGGCACTACCAGCCTGTTGGACCAGGTACCTCCTCGCTGTCGGGGCCATCTGTGCATTGCCGGATGTTAAGCAACATCTCTGGAACATACCCCTGCGATGCCAGTATCAGCCCCCACCCTGCCCATTTTGTTGTGACAATCAAAAATGTCTCTAGACATTGCCAGTTCTCTCCCGGGCGGGTAGGATCTCCCTGTGCTCTGACACCATGGTGGGGAGGTGGAAGAGAAGGCAGCCGTCATCGTTATTACTGCAGCTGTGGGACTTGTCATTAGGGAAGATTTTGAACAGTGACATCGATCTCTGACCTAACCTGCAAAGGCAGGTAAGCTCGAATTTTCCTGCTTTACAATGAAAAGGACAAAGCTTGTTCATTCATTGCTTCATTTGGTAGACATTTGCTGAGCACCTGCTAAGTACCAAACCCTGACCTAACCTCTGAGGATAAAGCAAGGAACAAAGCAAAAATTCTTGTCCCCACAGAGGTGCCACTCCACAGACAATAAACAAACAAGTGAAGTATGCGATATTTCAGCTGATAATAAAGGCCATGAAGAAGTGGAGGGTGGGATGGGCATAGGGATGCTGGTGGGGAGTTATACTTTTAAATTTTTTTTTTCAACGTTTATTTATTTTTGGGACAGAGAGAGACAGAGCATGAACGGGGAAGGGGCAGAGAGAGAGGGAGACACAGAATCGGAAACAGGCTCCAGGCTCCGAGCCATCAGCCCAGAGCCCGACGCAGGGCTCGAACTCACGGACCGCGAGATCGTGACCTGGCTGAAGTCGGACGCTTAACCGACTGCGCCACCCAGGCGCCCCGGGAGTTATACTTTTAAATAAGGTGTCCAGGCACAGCCTCACTCAGAAGGTGACATTTGAACAGAGACCTGCAGTAGGGGAGGAGTTGAGCTCAACCATTATCTTGGGGAACACTGTTGCACAGAGAACCACAAGTACAAACACCCTGGGACCTCCTTGGCAGACTAAGGAACAGCGAGCATGGCCAGAGTGTAATTAGGGGGTGAGTGCCACCAGAGCACAGGTGGAGGGAATGGTGTTTGTGACATCCATGGTGACTTCTCCAAGGCCATTTCTTTTTTTTTTTTTTTTTAAGTTTATTTATTTATTTTGAGAGAGAGAGTGCGTGAGGGTCCGAGGGAGAGAGAGAGAATCCCAAGCAGGCTCCGCAGTGGCAACACGGAGCCTGACGCGGGGCTCGAACTCACAGACTGTGAGATCATGACCTGGAGCCGAAACCAAGAGGTGGGCACTTAACCAACTAAGCCACCCAGGTGCTCCTCCAAGGCCATTTCACGTAGCAGTGCTCCAGGGTGTAGCTGGAACTTTGGAGCCCTCATTTCCATCTGAGTCAGGCTGCGTGAACCACTTTCTCCTCTGCATGGGCCCTGCCCTAGAATTATGTCCTCACCTGAGTCTGTGACTCACCTGGGCTGGGCCAATGCTGTGGAGATGGGGAGGTGGGGAGGGCAGGTTGTGGTGTATAAGTGGAGGAGGGCTGCTGACTCCTGACCGTGTCTGGCACTGAACAGCCTCTTCTCTTAGCCTCCTCTGTGCTGAAAACCAGCATGATGGCAGTCCTGCTCCTGCCCCTTCCCATGGCAGCCTGTGCGTTCTTGGGGGTTGGTCTGTGGGTAATCTGCAGCCATTTCCTTACTGCGGACATCCCTGCAGCCATCGGCCACCCGGTGAAACTGCGGGTCCTGGATTGCCTTTTCCTGCTGTTGTTGAGATGGGTGAGTTCCGTGTTTGATTTTTCCTCTCCGCCTGAGGGTTCAAGGAGGAGGTTGGGAAAACACATGAGAAGATTCTAGTTGCATTGACGCAGCAGCAGAGACAGGCTAGCTGCATTTTATTCTCACATCTGAATGATCCCTGTTAGGGAACCTATTAACTAAGAGGTTCTCAATCTCTTCCTAGTGTTGCTCAAGCTGTACTGGGCTCAGAGCCAGAAAATGAAAAAAGATTTACTTCCTCGGTTAACAGGAAAGAAAGGTCAATTCCAGTCCCACCCTCCCTGCTCCTGTCTTACTGTCTTCACAGCACACACTATGAAGCTGTGAAGACAAGAATGAGTTACTCCGGATTTTGAGCCCCCATTACCACCTACCTAGCTAGAACCAGCCAACAACAAAGACACATGCAGCCAATTAGTAAATTAGTACAAATGAGCAAATGAGCAAAACTTCAGAATGTAGCTTTAGATACACACACACACACACACACACACACACACAATCTTTTTACTATTGAGAGATGGAAAACTGTTTATGTCATATAGTCAGATTCTGCTCATTGCTACTGGTGTGTGAATTTAATAGAATAGATACAAATAGATCATGGGGAGAATTGTGTCAAAGTTGCCAATGGGGACTGGTTGTGCTTTTCCAGAGGGCTGACAGATTGAATACAGAAAACACAGTTAAGTCTCTTATGCAACGGAAGGGACTCCCTGGTGTCTTCTTTGCTTTCCTCAAGCTCAGCTAGTATCCTCATGATTGTTGTTCTAAATTCTAGGTCAGGCGTATTACTTATATCTGTTTCGATTAGATCCCTGGCCGTGACCCCTTTTTGTTCTTTCTTTTGGGATGCATTCCTCTGTCTTGGCATTTTGTTTACGTCTGTGTCTTCTGTGTGTTAGGAAAGCCTGTTCTGTTTCCTGCTCCTGAGAGTTATGGCTATAATGTTCATTTATTTATTTTGAGAGAGAGCGAGAGAACGAGCGGGGCAGAGGGTGAGAGGGAGAGAGAGGGGGAATCCCAAGCAAGTTCTGTGCCATCAGCATAGAGCCTGACACAGGGCTCGATCTCACGAAGCTCGAGGTTGTGACCTGCGCTGAAATCAAGAGTCAGACGCTTAACTGTCAGAGCCAGCCAGGCGTCTCGAGAGTAATGGCTATATTAAGAAGACCTCATATACTGGTCAGGGCCTGGTGCTTCAGGAAGGGTCTCTGGTGTATGCCGTGTGCACTCTGCTGCTGTGTTTTGGCTGCTCTTTCCCTCAGGTCAATCCTCTGCAGAACTTCTCCTTGCCTGCAGTGGGGTGTTTGGACCTTGTCTAGCGTGTGGCGAGCTTTAACTAGGAGTGTTTTAGTCTGCTTGTTAAAAGAAGCTGGATCCTATTTCCCCTAGAGCTGCATTCTGTGATCAGTAGACCTGGTGTGTGTGTGTGTGTGTGTGTGTGTGTGTGTGTGTGTGTGTTGGGGGGGAGTTGCACTGGTCTTCTGGGGGAGGGGCCTGCTGCGGTAGCTCTCAGGGGGACTTGCCCTAGTTCAAAAGCACCTGCAAGGCGCAGGGGGGAGGGGCTTGGAGTAAGGGGCTTCAGCTTCCCCTGGGTGATGCTGTGCTGCCCACTAAAGTCTGGCAGTGTGATGGGCTGGGGAATGATGTCAGTCCTTTCTCTCTCTCTCTCTCTCTCTCTCTCTCTCTCTCACCTGGAGCAGGGAGTTCTCCCCTGCTGGTGCTCAGGAAGCCCTCACAGAAGAGTGAACAATCTCCCTTGTGTGTCCCAGGTGTCCCTCAGATGCCCCTGCCTCCCTCTGTGTCCTGGATTTCTGCTGCCTGGTGGCACAGTACTCTTGTGTTTTATCTCAGGTACCCGGCTGTGTTTCACAACTCCAAATTCAGGGACCCAGTGTGGCACGGACCCATGCTGATCCTCTGGGGTAGGGTCTCACTGTGCTGTGGCCGGTGCCTGTTTGTCCCAGAAGGGCAGTCGCATGACCGCGCAGGGCTCGGAGTTTGTGGTAAAGCGCAGCAAAAAGCCGACGCCAAGGTTTGCTGCCCTCTGTCTCTGTTCCTTTGCTTGTGATGCTTGTGAACAGAGCAGCATGTGGGCGCCTGGGGCTCTTTTGTCCCCTGAGAGGCTGTGCCACCTCTCCCAGATGCACTCCAAGCAGGAAAACTGTGTCTCCCAGTGTGACCCAGGGGATCCTCAGACCACACTGCCCACTCCTGGGCCTCCTCCCTCCTTCCTTGAAGCACCGCTAAGCCCACCAGGCCACGCCTCTGACTTCTTTGCCTTCTTTGGGTCCCCCTGCTTGTGCAACTTGCGATGTTCGGCCCCTCTTGATTTCCCCGTCAATGGTTTGGGCAAATGTTTTTCTTATGTAGTCCCCTGGGCCCTGCTCTCTCTCTCTCCCCCTCTTTCTCTGTCTCTCAATCTCTGTCCTCTCTCCATGATCAGGGCTCCCTTCCCTCTGCAGCACCTACAATTCTTTTCTTCCCCAAATCACGTCTCTGCACCTTCCTACCTTCCACGATGTGGCCTCTTTTTCTCCTTGTTGTGCAGTTTGTTCTGTGAGTCCTCAGATCAATTTTCCTGGGTGATTTGACATTATCTAGCTGTGTTTGAGGGATGGGGTAAAGTTTAGTTCTAAGTTTACTATCCATCTACCGCCTGTCCCCCCCCCCCGAGGCTGAGGCTTTCTCAACTCTCTTACATAATGAAAAGCAAGTGCAAACACCTGTTCCCATGAAGACCCCTTCCTGGAGAAGAACCCACTGGCTGAAGGCTTCCTATGTCCAGCTTTCACAAGATCTGATGATTTGTCCTCTGGCTTTCCTGACCTTGACCCTCATAGTCTGTAGTCTGGGCTCCCAAATACGATGACTCAGTTTCCTCATCTGCAAAAGAGGGGGAAATAGTAGTCCAGACTCCATAGCATGTTGTGGGCTACGATGAGTTAAACCGTCCCAAGTGCAGGTTACAATTCCTGGCATAAAGGAAACCCTCAATACGTATTAGCCTTATTACTGTTTGTTGACTTGCTTTTTTTTTGTTTGTTTGTTTTGGTTTTGTTTTTTTGTTTTTACAAAGATGTGTCATGTAACTACGATGTGTCGTCCACCAGTTGTGGCTCTGGGATCAATGAGGGGCAAGAGAAATAAAGTCCCAGATAGAGTCTGCCTTCAGGGAGCTTATAGTCTCATGGCAGTGTTGGTGGGGAGACAGAGAGAAGAATCAGGCAAAACCACTATAAACCAATCCATTTACAGTGTGGCGAGTCCTTCCAGCAAAGTGAAAGAGGGCTTCTTCATCCGGGGTTCTCTGAATCCCCAAGGGGACAGAAGACAAGGGGTCCGTGAAAGTGGGTGGGGTAAAAAAAAAACGCTCCATTTTCACTCACCTCTAAAGGAAATGCGGGGTTCCCTTCCATGAAGAATGAAGGGGACAAACCACAGTTGTGACAGCACAACCCGGGACTTTGTCACCAAGAGGAATCCCGCGTATTTCCAGAGCGTATTACAGCCATTGCAGATATGGTGAAAAATTGCACGGATGCCTCATTTCTTCGAAGTAATAATGATATTAAACCAGCCGCTAGATCTCGCTGTTGTGTGCTCGTATGTAATCCCACATATTTTATTTTAGGTGTCAAAAACATTCTGTGACGAGGTCCACAGGCATCGCTTAAAGCCAAACTGGCATTGGTGCAGAAAGGGTTAGGAACCACTAGAAAGAGGGTGCCTGGGTGAGAGACGACTTTGTTTACTTTTATTTTGTTACCATGCAAACTTTCAGATATGCACCAAAGGAGACAGAAAACTATGAGGATGCCCCATGTACCCTCCCCCCAGTACTGATTGCTGACTCCTGGCCAATCTTGTTTCACCGGAGCCCCCACCTTTTCCCCCTTCTCATTTCTCAGGAAGTGGACCTCAGACATCATATTATTTTATCCAAAAGGTTTCAGTCATTATCTCTGAAAGACCAGAACGCCCTCACCTTTTAAAAAACATAACCACAGTGTAGTTATCACGTCTTAAAACTAGCAACTAATGCTTGGGACGACTGCATTGGCTGGGCTGGTCCAGGAGGGCCTGCCCCGGGAAGAGAGGTCACGTCCAGGCCACGGTTGGGGGTGTTCTGGGGGAGAGGGACCCTCACGGGGTGGCCAGAAGCTCGGTTTGTGGGACCGGGTGTCAATTGTCTGGGGAAAGAGGATGAGGGGGCAGTGTGGGCCAAGGTGGGGTGGGCTTACTACAGTGTCGCAAGGGCACACGTGGACACGTGGTCCAGCCTGCCCTCCAGCCACTCCGCTGGGGGCACGGGTGGCGGCTGCACCCGAGCGAAGCACAGACTGAAATCCTTCCGGCCTCATTTCCTCCTCTCTCACCAACAGGGGATGATTTTTGAGAAACTGAGAATCTGTTCTATGCCCCGATTTGTCCGTTTCATGCATGATCTGAGGCCACTGAAGGAGGATCCGGATGTCGTGGTCACAGACCTCCGCTACGGGACAATCCCTGTGAAGCTGTACCAGCCCAAAGTGTTTTCCTGCATCCCCAGGCCTGGCATCGTGTTCTACCACGGCGGCGGGGGGGTCCTGGGGAGCCTGAGTAAGAGTCTTTCCCTCAGACCCCACCCATAGTATGACAGTCCCAGAGCAGAGCTGGGTGCCACCCACCTTCCAGCAAGAGGTGGCACCCCAGTCTATAAGCCGCTGTAGGACCCGGACAATTAGCGGGTCCCAGATCATCCAGGTGGCAGAGATATGGAAGGTACTGATCTCTTTCTGGAACTAAGGAGACCTATATATGCAACATATATATTCATATATTCATATGCTATATAAATATATATATTCATATATATGCTCTATTTACATTCATATATTCATATATACACATATGTGTATATATGAATATATATGAATATATATATGAATACATACATATATATACACATATGTGTATATATTCATATATACACATGCTATATAAATATTCATATATATGCTCTATTTACATTCATATATTCATATATACACATATATGTATATATGAATATATATGAATATATATATG